TTATGGGATACAGGGAAGGCCTCTCATGGATCAGTAACTGGTTGAAATATTGGAAACAAAGGGTAGGAATAAATGGTCACTTTTCACAATGGAGAGACAAGAACAGCAGGTCCCCCCAAGGATTTGTACTGGTACCTGTGCTGTTCAACATATTAATAAATGATCTGGAGAAGGGGGTGAACAGTAAAGTGGCAAAGCTTGTAGATGATAGTTCAGTCCAAAGTAGGCTATGAGGAGTTACAAAGGGATCTCACAATACTGCGTGACTGGCCAACAAAATAGCAGGTGAAGTTCATTGTTGATAAGTGCAAACTAATGCACATTGGAAAAAAATAATCCCAACTACACATATATGATGATGGCTTCTAAATTAGCAGTTACCACCAAAGAAAGATCTTGGAGTCACTGTGGATAATTCTTTGAAAACTGCTGAAAATTGTGAAATGATCAAAAAGGCTAATGGTATATTAGGAACTATTAGGAAAGGATAGAAAACTAGACAGAAATTATCACAATGCATCTATATAAATCCATGGTCTGCCCATACCTTGAATACTATGTCCAGTTCTTGTTGCCCCATCCACAGAAATGATATAGTGGAACTGGAAAAGGTACTGAGAAGGGCAACAATGATGTTGAAGGGTACAGAATGGCTTCTGTCCAAGGAGAGACTAAAAAGATTAGGGCTGTTTAGCTTAGAAAGAGACGCATTGGGTGATATGATAGAGGTCTATAAAATAATGAATGGTGTGGAAAAAGTGAGTAGAGAAATGTTATTTATCCATTCACACAGTACAAAACCGAGCAATCGCCTGATTACATTAATAGGTAGCAGGTTTAATACAAACAAGAGGAAGAACTTTTTCACACAAAGCACAGCTAACCTGTGGAACTCATTGCCATGGGATGTTGTGATGGACAAAATATAACTAGGTTCAAAACAGAACTGGATAAGTTCCTGGAGGATAGGTCCATCAACGGCTATTAGCTAAGATGGTCAGCGTACAGCTCTGGTACAGGCCACTTTTGCGGACAGAATTCTGGTCTGACCCAGGCTGGCAGCTCTTATGTTCTTATGGTTCTTGTCTGGGGAAGGTAAATAAACAATGGCTTTCTTCAAATAACAGATTTTTTAATAAACACCTGTATCATGCACTGTACTGTTACTGCACTGAAATCATTATTCATGCCCGTTCCAGTTCCAGGGTAACTACGGCACAGTAAGGGACCATTCCTGCTCCCATTAGGGCAGGGAGAGCTTTGCTGTTGACTTCAGCAGCATTAGAATAGAGCCCTAAGTCTATTAGACTTTACCGTAGGTATGTGTATCCACCTGCCTTTCTTCCTTTATTTGGAAAATGAATGGGTCCCAAGTCTGATTTTCTCCAAGCCTCCGGAACCTCCCAAGTCTGTAAGTATTTAAAAGAAAATTGGAATTTTTGAAAAATTTGGTAGTTAATATGATATTTCTTGTGAATCCTTAGAAGAGCTGTTTGAAATGTTCAAGTTTTCCAAGTAGGAGCTGATTCTGCAAAGCTTTAGCTTCACTAGTAGTTCTTACTTACAGGAGCTGTCCCATAAGGATGACTCAGATGACTAAAGGTTCAGGGTTAGGTCCTGTCCCTTTAAATGCTTTTTATCTGAAGTTTCTTCACAAAGTCTTCAGCATTTCCTGATTCTACTGACTTCTTCTCTTTATGTTTCTTGTTAAAGACACACATTTTTCAGTATCTCAGCCATTGTAGCATCGTCATTGATTTGCATGGAAGCTGTTTAGTTATCATTATATTGCACATTAACAGCTGGGATCTATCCCTGCAGGGAGCAGGCGGATCAGACTGGTGAATGGGGCAGGTCGCTGTGCCGGGAGAGTGGAGATTTATTACAGTGGCAGCTGGGGGACAGTCTGTGATGATTCCTGGGATCTGTCAGACTCCAATGTCGTTTGCAAACAACTTGGATGTGGACACGCCATCAATGCAACTGTCTCTGCTCATTATGGGCAAGGATCCGGGCAGATCTGGCTGGATGATGTGAACTGCACTGGGAACGAATCCAATCTCTGGGACTGTCCTTCCGGGGGATGGGGCCAGCACAACTGCAGACACAAAGAGGATGCGGGAGTTCTCTGCTCAGGTCTGGTCTGGGAAAGCTCCCATGAGTCTGATAATCAGGGGACTTAATGAAGTACATGGGTGTCTGAGGAGTAAGCTGAGGATGTCAGAAAGTTTATCTCCTTTTTCCTTTCTCTCTCTCACTCTCCCCGCTACCTAACCACTTGCAATGGTCACCATTAAAAAGTCAGCATTGCCAATAGTTAATACCAAGGGGTACTGCAAATGTCACATTGATTTCTGAATCTTGGGTACCACTGTTTGCAACTGTTGGTAAATGGTGTCTTTTAAATAATAATTTCATTGCTCGTGGGCCTGTCACTGGTCTCTAGAAGAATGTCTCTTATTCTTCTGGAGAAGAATGGGCAGGATTGTTAGCAATCTCTGGGATTTCAGCCTTTAACCCCCTGTGTGTTTCAGAATCAGAAACCTTCACACCCAAATTCTGCCTTTCCTCCTAGAATTCACAGATCTGAGACTGGTGAGTGGCAGTGACTGTGCTGGGCGACTGGAGGTTTTCTACAGTGGGACTTGGGGCAGTGTCTGCAACAGTCCTATGGATGCCGTCACCAGGGCACTTATATGCAAACACTTGGACTGCGGAGACAGAGGGACACTTTTGAACGAGTTTACACATGGAAGCGGCTCTGGCCCCACCTGGGTGGATGGTGTTCGGTGCAATAAGCAGCACAGCTCCCTTTGGCAATGCCCGTCAGACCACTGGAAACAACAATCGTGTAACAGAGTAGAAGAAACCCATATTGCTTGTGAAGGTAAATAGCAAACATATATACACACACACACATTCAACAGTCAGGTCTAGCTCACTGAAAGATTTTGATATAATTATTATATTTTTTTACTTTTTACTTGATCTTTTTATCAAATACATACACATTTATATACATTATAAATAAATGTGTATGTATTTGATAAAAAGATCTAGTGAAAAGTAACAAAATATAACAATTATATCAATCTATATCTATAGCTATATAACATTCTCAGCAATGGTTCAAACTTCTTTTTGGTATCTGAGGTTCTAGAAATAGTAATGTGGCCTGTTAATAACAAACATGGACATCGCTATTACACAGAAATACATTTCACTGCAACCACAATTAGTGCCTAATCCAACACCCAGTGAAGTCACGGAATCACAGATTTTAAATGCTGAAGAGACTGTTAGGATTTTATAATCCGACCTCCTGCATATCACAGGCCATAAAATATCAGCCAGTAATTCCTGCATCAAGCCAGTACATTTTAGTGGAGCTAGAGCAGATCTTTTAGAAATACGTCCAGTCTTGATTTAATGACTTCATGTCAAGGAGACTCCCCATATACCTTGGTAAATTGTTTCAATGGTTAATTAGCATGAACAAATTCTAAGCCCTTCGCAATCCTTGTTACTGGGATCAGAATCTTGATCTCTCAACTCTCACTCACACATCAGCAGAGCCTTTCAGGAGAGCATTATTACCCTCATTTTACAGACATGGAATGGAGACACAGACAGATTAAGTGTCCCAAGGTCACCCATGGTTCCTTAATGAGCATTGGCTCAAGCCTCTGGAAGAGCCAGGAAGTGTTACCCATTAAAGAACATGATTCATGTGCCTTTCTGGTTAAACATCTTCCAAGGAATAACAATCAGAGGTTTGGGCTGTGAAGGTCATCTATAGATCTGTGTCTCAAGTATTATCTATATTATGGTGACACCTAAAATCCCCAAAGGCCTCATTGCCCCAGGCACTGTCAGAACACAAATCGAGAGAGGCCTTGCCATACGGAATTTACAGTCGAGATAGACCAGATGAGTGGGAGGGGAAACAGATGATAGAGAGGTGAAGGAACTTGCCCAAGTCACACAGCAGATCTGTTGCAGAAACAAAAATAGAACCCCAGTCTTTTATGTCCGAGTGCAGCACCATAACCACTGGACCACACTGCCTTTCCATGTGGGGAAGTTCAGACCTGCAGCTCCTATACAGCCCCCTCTCAATATTACTTTCTCTCTTCTGTTGGTTCCTGCGATAATGAGGGTGAGTTTCAGCTCAGGTTTCTGTTTCCATTCCAATCTCTGGGCAGAGGTGTTAGCGGGGTTGTCACAGGGAGAGCTAGAGGAGAATCAGATACTGTCCTGCCAGTTACATAAAGAGACACACCCACCAGGAGGGAGCTGCTTAAGACTGCAAAATCCAGAGTAACAGCTGAGTAGCTAATTAATTATTAAATAACCCAGATTTTGGCTTTCAGCCAATTTATAAAGCACTGGTATTAGGGGTGTGAAATACTGATAAACCCTACTCAAACCTCCTTCGCACACACTGCCCCATCCACTCACCTCAGCTTTCTCTCCATAGGAACTAAAGGGAAACCACCTCAGACCCTGTTTACCGAATGCCCGAACTCTACAAGCTGCACAGGTATCTCTGCTTCTCTGTGTCTCCCTCTTGGTCCCTAAGGACTTTCCCAGCTGTCCCTGTAACATGTGAGGTTTCTGCATTTCCAGACAGGGAGAAGTTACGTGTCGTGGGAGGACAGAACAGATGCTCGGGGAGAGTGGAGGTTTGGTACCGTGGCTCCTGGGGAACAGTTTGTGATGACTCCTGGGACATGGCGGATGCTAACGTTGTGTGTAAACAACTGGGCTGTGGATCTGCTGTATCTGCCCCGGGCGAGGCTGCATTTGGCGAGGGGACTGGTCCCATCTGGGTGGAGAAGATGAACTGCAGAGGGACAGAGTCATCTCTCTGGGACTGTTGTTCCAAGCCCTGGGGTGAGAGTAACTGTGATCATAAGGAAGATGCTGCCGTGAATTGCTCGAGGTGAGTGACAGGAGATG